ACCAAGACAACTGTGTCCTGGGTTCATAGGTAGCAGACATTTTTCTCCTTCTTAGTACCTGGTGCAGTGCTGTGTTTTTGACTTTCAGCCTGGGAGCAGTGCTGATAACACTGATGTTTTTAGTTGCTGCTCAGTAATGTTTACTCTGACCAAGGACTTTCTGAATCTCATGCTCTGCCAGGGAGGAGGGGAAGCTGGGAGGAAGCAGGGACAGGACACCTGACCCAAACTAGCCAAAGAGGTATTCCATACCACAGCATGTCATTCCCAGTATATAAACTGGGGGCAGTTACCTGGAAGGGTTAGATCACTGCTCGGTTCAGAGTGGGTATCGGTTGGCGGGTGGTGAGCGATTGTATTCTCTTCCCTTGTTATTCCCTTATCATTATTATTGGTGGCAGCAGCAGTGATTTGTGTTATACTTTAGTTACTGGACTGTTCTTATCTCAACCTGTGGGAGTTACATTCTTTCAGTTCTCCTCCCCATCACCCCATCCCTCCAGGAGTGTGGGAGGAGGAAGTGGGGGGGGAGTGAGTGAGCAGCTATGTGGTTCTGAGTTACTGGCTGGGTTTAAACCACGACAAACTGTCATATTTTAGCCATATAATTTTTTGAAAAGATTTTTTCTTACGGAATTTTTTGCCTCCAGTGGAAATTAGATGGCTTCTGATCTTTTTTTTCTTTTGCTTACTAATTTTAGGGACCAGAAAGTGGCAGAAGAAAAAGCATTGTTCTCTCAAATGCCCTGCCTTGGAGCTGGTCAGCCAAAGATGTTGCTTTAACATGTGGCTGAGCCCACCTAATGACTTGTGGGCACTGAAGGGTGGCTTTATCTTTATGGCTACTTGTTCTGTCCCTTTCTTTGTGCTGAAGTTGCTATTCTTTGGACCCGCTTGTCTGTTGGTTTTCTGAGTTCATTTGGCTCATGGAAGCGTCCCAGTGAGTGCCAAAATCACCACAGACTAGTCAGGACTGCCCAGCTGGGAGTGGAGTTTTGGGAGATGGGGATATCACCTTAGCTGCCCAGGAACTGTGAGGCTTACTTAGTGTGCATTCTGGAACTGAACCACTAGGGTAACTTAAGCAGCTTTTCAAGAAGTGGAATTGTGAAATCACTCTCTCTTCCAACATCACCAATGAAAGAGTTGTCAATTAGTGAAGAAATATGTTGATGATGATCAGTGTTAATACAACTCATCCTCGTGGGATCAGTCTGGCAGCTCACACCTCTGATCAGTTTTTTCAGATTCTTTGCAAAACCTGCAAACTCTGTCAGATCCCTGCAATAAGTTCCTGCTGGTTCATCTTTTGGTTTAGGATGTAGTTTCACTGAGATCTGGCTCTATGGTGAGCTAGTTCAAGGAGTTAAACCAAAAAAAAAAGCCTCCATTTATTTGCTGTGCTAGATTTCTGCTTGCTTAATTCCTTGAATCAAACTGGCACCAGTGTTTGCAGAAGTAAGGCAGTAGAAAAATGCCTACAGGTAGAAGGGGGAAGCAGAATGGCCTTTTCAATGGGAGCTGAATCTTCTGTCTGCCTTGTTGCAGTATGAAACTCCACCTTTAGGATGTGGCTTCACAGTGGATTGAAACTGATCTCATTCTGACTTTTTGATGAAAGAAGCAGTCCTACTGTCTTGCTGGTACGAACCCTGCTGAAACAAACCCTGCTCAGAATGACTTGCTTGAATATGTAGTCATGGGGTTCCTAGCACGGACACAAGAATGATAAATCACATTAAGACTTGAAATGTGAGTTTGGCTTTCTTCTGTAGCTTGGGATGGAGCCCCAAATAGAGGGTTATTAATGAGCTAGTGGGGACTACATGCAGCTCTCTGCTCATTGTCTACTAACAGCAATTTGAGTCTTGACTGGAGTCTCTTTCCTTTGATATTCTATGATCATTGATTTTCCTTTGAACACTAAGTCATTTACCTTGGTCTTCTCCCTGTTAAAGGATGAGCTAATGCAATTATAAATATTTTTTTTTTCTTTTCTGTGATCAGCAGAACAAGTGAAGCCTGGTTTCCTATGGATTTGTCCTGATGTGGCACTGCTGTGTGGATTCTCATATGTATATTAAGCAGTGTCTGCACATGCTTGCCACTTTATCTGTGACAGCTTTATTAGTATCTGTTTCATCCATTTGGCTTTGCATTTCACAGAAGTTACCTTTGTGCAAATTTAGATGGAATTAGGCAACAGCTTAAACATGCTTTTTTTTTGGCAAGGAAAGGGAAGAAAGGGGACCCACAGGCAGAAACATCAACAGAGACAGTATAATTGCAAAAGCTTTTCCTTGGGAAGTCAGGCTAAAAATGAGTCTTTTGATGGAGGCCTCTGCTGAGATCTCAGATCAAACTATGGAGGGAGAAAGAAAAGTAATTCTTGCTGTTTACCACATAAAGGTTTCCAGTAACCTGCTGCAGCAGATTTCTCATAAGTCAGGCTACACCACCAGTTAGTGTTTACTCACTTGGTTATCTTCTCATTTTCAGCAATGTCCTCATCAGGCTTTGGGTACACTCATGCATCAGTTGCTTTAATTTATTTTTGATTTAACCTTTATACTTGAATAAATGGCTATGTAGGTAGTAAGACACAAAGAGACTTGTGTTTACAGGACTCTGTCAGTGATGCCATGAAAAACAAAGGGTTTAAAGCAGCCAAGGATGCAATCCTGTTATTGTAGAAAAGCTAGACTTGAGGGTTCCATTACATAGCATCTTCTCTATGAAACTTTCACTGTGCAATAAATGCTGAGGTATTTAACTCTTTTCCTCTCTTGTAACCTTACACTTAAGCTCCTATTACCTTAGAAACTAAAATAAGCAATCTGTAAAAGGGAACACTGGCCTATTTTTCTTGGTGGATGCCAGTTTATTACAAATAGATCCAGCTATGAACAAACCTTGCAGGTTTGTTTGGATTTGGTTGCTATTCTGAGCTCATTTTGAGCTCTGGTAAGAGTTCTCGTAAGAATGCCTTGCCTACCCCTGAACATGGCAGCTGGATCCTGGGGCCCAGTCATATTGGCTTCCTGGGTCCGCTTCCAGTCATCTAGGCCTTGAAATATGTCTGTTATGTCCATGGATGTTGATTTTTTTTTCCCTTGAACTAGTTTACAGCTGCATCAGTTGTAAACTAGTTGTAAACTGCATCAGTTCCCTGATTCTCTGGCCCTGTCATTACAGAAATGCTGGAACAAGGGAGGAGGGAGCGAACAGTCAATCAGGTTGAACAAGAAGCATGGGACCACCCTTCCAAATGGCCATCCAGGTTTATGCTAGGTTACAATGACCTTGTAGAACAAAGAACTATATGTTGGGAAGGGGTGAGAAGGCGTGAATGGAAGAAAGGAGGAACATGTCCATCTGACTGTGGGAACTCATGTTACAGCCAGACAGCTCCAGCTTTTTCTCCTGAGAATGCAGGTGAAGCACTTTTCTTCAGAGCATGAGTCATGTGATGAGCATTGGTGTAGCACTGGCTTCTGCTCACTGATGTTCATTTCAGCTCATCAGCTGTCTGTGCTGGATTGGATCTAGAGAATGGATGGAGATGCTGTGGCCAGGTTGTGACCATAAGGCAGATGCAGACCTCCCCTGAAGAGGAGAACGAACCAGAGACATGTGATTACTGCACTGGATGAGATTGCAATGCTTTATAACCCCAGTGGATAAATAAAACAAATGGGTAATAATTTCTTTATTGTACAGCAAGATTGAGGGTCTTTGCAACAAGACTTACTACCTGAAAGCTGTAACTTTCAGGTATAAAGCATTTATACGTTCTAAGTACAGACACAAGTCAATGGCAAAGTTTTCCCCACCACCAGTGTGACCTGACATGATTGTACCATTCTGGTTTAGACCAGGTCCTTAGAATAAGTAGCTGTTTAAGCTCTAATGGCCTGGTCAATTTATTTCTGATAGGGAGAAGGTATTTTCTTATTCCAGAAAACTTAGAGAAGCTTTCTGGAAACCAGCTGTGTTCCTTATTTGGTACCAATTGGTCCCTACCTCATTCCTGAGATTTTTAGAAAAAAAAAAAGAGGGTGGGGGAGGAGAGCAAGCATTCACCTACAGACAGAAAAAAATACTGCTGCTGTAGATTTTCCCTGAAGACAGCCATTAGCTGCTTTGTTGCACCCCCTTGGACAATCTGTCTGCTAAATGCCAAGTCTCTGCTAGGGAGATGATTACGTTCCAAGCAGTGAAGTTAAAACGAGATTTGATGCTGACAGTCAAATTGTCTAAGTAATTTAAAGCAGTATTTCATGTGGTTTCAGTGTCTCATCAGATGCATCCAGCTGGGATTCTAACAGCACAAATATTGGGAAATAATGGAAAATAGAAAGAAATTGGGTGCTCAGATCCTTTTTAGTTGCAATGGAATTTGGGATGGAAATTGTTTGGTTTATGACAATCTTGACCTCAAGACTTGATGATGATAACCCTGAAGGTGGCAGCTGGCTGTATACCCGTGGTCCATATGTTGTAGTGTCATTTTTCTTAAGTTCACAAATTTCCACCCCGACACGAGCTTTGCCACTCTTATTCCTCTGCTAAACTCTTAGTCTTTTCCACTTTATCCCCCCCCCCCCCCTTGTTTTTTTTTTTTTTTTTCTTCCAGTTTGCTGCCTTAGAGGCGGCTATGATTTGCTTTTCATTTTCTGGTCTGCCTTTGTTCTTCGCTGCCTTTTCCCTGGCTCAGGCTGTGCTTCCCGGCTTTGAGGCGGCTCTGGCTGCCCTGCGGGCCCGCTCCTGGCCGAGGCGGGGGGTCAGTGCTGATTTCAGCGGCAGACAGCCTCCGCCGCAGCCTTCTCTTCGCCCATCTATCTCACGGTGCTCTCTGGGCCTTGGTGGCCCACAGAGCTCCTCAACCCGCGGGTACGAGCGGGGGCCCTCAGTGACCGAGGCAGCAGCCCACACTGCGGGCTCGGCAACCGGAAGGTGGCCTGATGCTGCGGGGCAAGCCGGACCGGTACCGTGGCTCAGCCGCCCGGCCAGCGGTTGCCGTACAGCATGGCGGCGCCCATACACGGTCGCACCGCCGGGAAAGAGGAAGCTTCCGCTTCTCTAAGCCTCCCGGTGGGCGCGGCGACTACCCCGCGGAGGGTTCCTGCTGCCGGAGACGGCCGTTCCGCACACACGCAGGTACCGGGCGGAGAGGGCAGAGGGTTTTGTGCCCATCCCGAGGGCGGGCCGCGTCCTGTGGCGCCGCGCCGGCAGGTGCCCCTGCCGAGCAGGCCGGAGGGCTCACCGCCTGCTTGCAGCGCGCCGAGGCGGCACCGGGGCCTCTTTCCTGTAAAACCCCGACTACGGCTGGAACGGGTGGCGTCTTCTTCCCCGGTGCTGAGGGGAGTTGTGGCCCGCCCGCACCTGCCCGCATCCAGAGGAGCCCTCTGCTCTTTCCGTGGGCGCCCCGGCCCTGCTTCCCGGCTGTTCCCCGCACCTCGTGCTCGCCACACCGGGGGCCCCGGGGCCGCGTTCCTCCATCCCCACGGCTGGCGGCCGGGGCCCGGCCTGCCCCGCACGCTGGGGCTGTGTTGTTATATCGAGGCTTCACCTGACGAGGTCGCTGTCTACGCCTCCATTCCCCGCTTTCCCAAGAAGTAGCTGCTGTTGGACCTGCGGAGGGGGAGGCCGGCCATAGGTGCGGGTGGGCTTCATGGCTTTCGGTCTTCTCACTCGCTTTGAGAAGTGAGTAAATTATCCATGACTTCGCAAGCATTCAGGCAGGTGTCTGTGCCCATGCTCTGAAAGCTGGTGGTGGTTGTGCAGGGCTGTAGTAGCATCATCACCCCAGCTTCTGTTTCTGTCAAACAGCATGTAAAGGCAGACCTTTAAAAATAACGTGGTGGGTGGGAAGATGGGGATGCAGGGACAGGACTGATTCCAGTTTACTGAAAGGGAACTGAGCTCCTGTATGATAGAGGGAAAGCTATGTTATAAATAGATGCTGCTTCTTTAGGGCTTTTCAATGTCTGAAGAACCATTTGACCTTAGTATGGATGTGAATGTAATGGACAATGCCTATTATTTACTAATGCATGAACGGACATGCTTATTCTGCAGTAATTTTGCCAGGTTTAGCTTTATATTGATCTGGTCCCAAACAGAGCTAAAGGATGTTGATAATAGCCCTGGCTAGCTCATTTTCAGAATGTCAATTTGTGGAAGCATCCAGTTGCACCAGTATAAATCAGTGGATTCCTATTAAGGTTTTTGGTGCTGTGATCAACAGCAGCAATTCAGTCTCATGGTATTGCTCAGCCCACTGCCACAGCAGTCCGTCTTCTTACCCCCAGTCTGTCAATGCGGGGCCTGGTCCTTTTCCTATCAGGATTGCAAGTTGTGGCTTGAACGTTGTTATGATACCAGTAGGTGTGTTTAGTATCTCTAAACACATTTCATTAAGTTGTCTTTAACTTCCACCTCTCTCATTTTTCTTTGCAGGCTGTGATGAAATCCTACAATGCCGCTTTGAGTAGATGAACTGAAGGGGTCAAAAGGGGATAAAGAAAATGCCCAAGCAAACAGCAGTGACAATTACTTTGGCAACCCTGCTGGGTGTTGCTGTGGGGGGGCTGGTTTTGTGGAAAGCAGCCCAGCGTCGAAAAGGAAAAGCATGCTGTAGTAGTCAGCGAGAGGAAGCATTTATAAACTCAGGAGACAAGAAACTGATTAAGACAGAGGGTAAGGAGGTGCTTTCCTTCTTCAGATCTTCCACATTTTCCTGGGTAGAGAGGATCCTTGGTGCAGATGTAATGGTAGTTTCAGAGCAGGAGGAGTGGGATCATGCTGAACCTTTGCTGAAGAAGGAGCTGGAGAAGTGGCCAGTGCTTGGAATTGATTGTGAGTGGGTGAGTGATCAAGAATCGCCTCTCCTTTGGATTGCAAATTGCAATGGGAAATCATTGAGGGTGGAGTGATTCCTTTCCTTAAATGGATACAACAGGACTGACTGTTGAAATTGCCTGTGGGATGATCTATCATGACAGCAGGGAAGTAGCTGCTGATTTTGATTGTTCTTACATTCAGGTGTGCTGGCTGCAAGTTACTGATTCACTAGTTGTATTTTCCTGAACTCCTGTGATAAATACTACTAAACATAGTGATAATTGTATGTCATTATGTGTTTTGTACAAGATCTCTTTAGAGGTGATTTAGTGGAAGTGACTGGGGTTTACACTATTTTAAATTCTGCTATATACTTAAGAAACAAATTCTTAAGAGTAATAAATCCAAAAAGGAGGATAATACTGATATGTGGATATAACTTGCTGGGGCTACCAGAAGGCAAAGTTCCTCTTCCGCTTGTACATTTGCCTGTGTGAACTCTCAGAACAGGCTTTGAGCCATTTATAATCCTGGCTTTGCCATTATTTTGGCTGGAAATTTATTCACCACACGGTCTTTAAGTATAAGCCACAGTTAAACAATGTTTGCCATTAAACATTTATGTAGTGGGTGCCTTTGTGCTGATGTGGATTAAGAAATGTGTCTGATGTCTTCTACCAGCTCAGCTATGAGGGGGAAGGGGGAAAGGGGGAAAATTTCTTTTGTGGGAATGTGGCAAGAAGTAGCTTGGTAGCAGTAATACTGTGAAGCAGATCACATAATTTGCAGTAAAGTTTTAGAGGTGTGTAACAACATATGACTATAAACTGATAGGTATTGCCCATCTTCAGTGGCCTGTTTTGCAATTTGTTCCAGCTCCAACATTGCTAATCATACTGTAGCCCAGACTCTGATTTTTGTCTTTATTTCAGGTATCTGTGCAGGGAAAAGCAAATCCTGTATCCCTCCTGCAGATGGCTTCTTCCAGTGGCTTCTGCATTCTTGTTCGATTGCCCAGGCTTGTTGCCAGTGGACAGACTATTCCAAAGACCCTGTTGGACATCATGGCAGATAGTGCTGTGTTGAAAGTTGGAGTAGGATGTTGGGAAGATGCTTGCAAGTTACTTCATGATTATGGTCTTCCAGTCAAAGGGAGTGTGGATCTCCGTTATTTAGCCATGAGACAGTGGTGAGTGTCTGAAAACAGAAGCAGCTCTGCTTGAGCCATCATCCGAGTTGGAAATATTTGTAAAGTAATTTGCATATGCTGGATGGTAGCAGGCAGGTAGGTCTGGAGTTCTCAGAGTGGTTTTAAAGGGTGGACACTGACAGCTGGAGCCCAAGAACATGCCATGGTTCTGTTCTATGGTCTTAATGGAAATGAAATCTTCACAAAGATTCCATATGTTCATTGTGTCTGTTAGTCTTCTCATGGAATACCCTTATGGAATTTCTGAGTATCATGCTTCAGCTTTTAAGAAGACCAGACACAGTGATGTAGCATAGTGAGACTCATCACCATGTCAACAAATGTTTGAATACATGGCCTGGAAGTATGAGGTAAATGTGCCAGGGGCATGCAAGTGTAACTGTTTAATTACAGGGTTTCTTGAAAAATGGCTAAATAAACCAGCTCCAATTTTCTCTTAGTAACAATGTTTCCATTGATAGGTTATAATAAGGATGCCATTTCCTCATCCTTCATTCTTTCTTAAATAAAATGTTTTAGTTGGGAATATTCTTCACATACAGTATATGTATGCCTGGGTGTACTGGAACATGGTTTGCTGACCTGATGGTGCCTTTTTAGCACTGAGGATGGACTTGTCTCTAGTGGCCAGGATTCCTCTGAATTTTTCCTGACTGTTACATTCCTCATGAATCCCTGGGGCAGGTGGTCCATCACTCTACATCAGACCTCCTTAGTTCAGAAGTGGGTAGTTCAAAGACAAGTACTTCAGCCTTAAATGTTACCAACTAACTCCCAGCCTTGCCCATTTTGCATGTAGCAGGCAGTAGATAATTACTAAAGGAAAGGACAGAGGGGAGAGAGAGGGCCTGTGGATCTTACAGGCAGCTGTGTGCTGTTTTAGTGGGAGTCACGCATCATGTGCATTGTGTCTGGCAGGTTGAGGGTGTATGAGGCAGTGTGCATTTGCATGGATGTATTGTTTTGGTTTTAATATGTGTGTTTCACTTTCTTTGTTAAACTCAAGGAAGGATCTACCTCACTGCCTTAGCCTAAAGTCTTTAGCTGAAGAAGTCCTGAACTGCCCACTTGACAAGTCTCCTCATGTGCGTTGCAGCAACTGGGAGGCAGAAGAACTGACACAAGATCAGGTGTGTCTTCCACTTCAACTGAGTGTTTTGGGAGAAAAAGCAACCTTCTTAGTAGAAAAAGAGGCATTAGAACAGGAAGATCCAAGCCTTCTTCAAGTTCTGCCTCAAAACCTAATATGTGTCTATGGTCTGAAGTTGAATTCCAGACTGTGCCTTGCATTTTGCATTTTCCTCCTTTTCCACGAAGATAATTTTCTTCTGTTCTGGAATTCTTGACCCTTGTTTTCCTTTAGTCCTTAAAGATCTGTTAGGGAAGATCCCTTGAAGAAGTGTTCAAGCACTCAAAAACCTCACCTTTTTATTATTTTCTTTTCTTCGATCTATAGCAGTCAGTGCAATATTAGAAACTGGAAGCCTTGTTTACCATATCTAGTCCGTTATGCTTCCCTGATTGCCAATTTTCTTTGCAGTCAAGCTGCAGATGTGTAGAAAATCAGTGACCGGTAGAGGGAGTGACAGGATAAATAACCACACTGATGATTCCTAGACAGTATGTCAAAAGGGAGTTTTTTATTCGTTGGGAGGGGCTTGATGGAGTGGGAGAGTGCATAAGGCGCGGCTGACTTTAATTAGTCCTTTGCAGTTTCTTGGGCCACCCATGAGTATTTCAGGTCTCACTGACCCTAAAAATGTGGGTTGTGGTGATGTTATGAAGGTGTCACTCAGCTGCCAGAGCTTGTGTGAAAATAAATCCAGCTTCTGGCTTTACTGTGCTAAGTGCTAAAGACTGATAATGTTTTGGAGCATTTGGTGTTTGTCAGTATCTTGATGTCTACACTTTTCTGCAGGTTCTCTATGCTGCTAGAGATGCTCAGGTCTCAGTGGCTCTGTTCCTCCATTTGCTGGGATTTGCCAGCCTCCCTGCTATCTCTCAAGGTGAAAACTCTCTTGCTGCTTGGGAAAAAGCAGTGAGTAAATGCCGGGGCTTGGTGGATATTCCTTTTAAAGGAAGAAAGAGTGGCAGCACAGGAGAGGAGAAGAATGGAGAGGGACGTTCCCCTCAGAAAACAAAGAATCGGAAGTCTGCAGTGCATGGCCAGCCTGCTGGCAGTCAGCAAGTGAGAGATCCACGAAGGCAGAAAAGAAAGCCTCTGGGTGTGGGATATTCTGCACGGTAAGTCTGTGACCTCATTTTACTCTTTGCACTGCAGATGGAAAACTTCGAATGATGCATCATGCTCTATTAAACAGAAGTGGATAATAGGAGCTGGGAAAGCAAACACAGGACCTAACAGTCATGGGACCCAGATCCTGTTTCTTTTTTTCTCATTTCCCTCTAGAGGTGGTATTGAAAGCGGAGGCAGGACTTGGATCTGTACTAGGTCATGAGCAGGTTGAAGGGTTGTCTTCAGCTTTTGCCCTTTCTTCTCCTGTGGAGGCATTAGCTGGAGAGCAGAGTCTCAGCAGCAGCTGGCTGGCAGTCTGGGTGGCAATTACTGCCCAAACAGCTGTGCCTTGTCTCCTTCAGGGAGAAAGCTAAGGTTACGAGGGGTGAGACACATTACTTGAGGTGCTAGGGGGCCCAGGAAGGAACAGTCTGTGGCAATATAAAACCATTGCATTGCTGTGTTGGCCAAGGAGATGGAGAAGGGAAAACTATTACTTTGGCCGTGCAGAGGGAGCTGTTGCTGGATTCAGGATCCCTGTCCTGCAGGCAATTTTGTGGAACAAATCCTAAATTCTTATGGCCTTTTGGTAATTAATTCAGTCACTATTAAATTAAAACAAGTTGGAGAAGTCTCTTTAAGCTCAATGCAGTGGGAGATGCAGAGAGCGAGCATGTTTGGTTTTGTTTGGATACAGTCTGTAATAAAATTTATCACTGGATGTGGAAACTAAAATTGTAATTACCATTTGGAAAGAAAACCAGTCATTCTAATATTTGTTTTCTCCTTTTCCAGTTTATTGGATTGGCAATGGAGACATTTTGATATAGTCAATAATATTGATTTCATTAGCAGTCATTAATGGTATTGTGTTATATACAGCAAGTCCATCCAGATTTATTTATTCTTTAAGTTGGAGCCTGCGTCAAACAGAACAGAAGGACTGCACCTCATAAGAGGATTAAAATTTAAACAAAATTGCATTCCAGCCTACATTGAGATCTCCTCATGTTTGCTTGTTGATTATTTTTAACCATGCTTGACTTCATGAGAGATCTGTAGACTCACTGGTTTTTATAGCATCTCTGCCAGTGTGGCTTTGGTCTGTAGTACAACTAGATGTGATTTCAAAAGTTATTTTCCACTCTCTCTGTCTATAAGCCTGTTCAGTTCTAATGTTGTTTCATTTTGAGTTGGGAAATACTTATCATGGTGATTGAGCTGATCAATGTTCAGTGGAAGGAGACCTCCTGTATTGTTGTTTTGTTGAGTTTTTTATCCCCATGGACCTAGAAGAAATCCTTTTTGTCTCATTACATAGCCTGTGAATCAACCCTTTTATCTGGTGGTGCACTGCTGAGTACTTCCTTCTACATTGTTGCTGAAGAGAAGAAAGGAAACTTTTCTGCAGTGTGCTGTGACCTGTCTCTATCCCTGGACAGCTCCTTCCAGTGGTCCTGGAGCCCAGCCAGCTCCCCTATTCTGTTTTTGTTTGAAGGAGGTTGCTAGAGTAAGGAAATATTTTCTGCAAAATGTAACCCTTCCACACACTGCCACAAATCACCAGAGGCTGCCCAAACAGGGCTTTTCACCACTAACGGTAGGCATACATGTTTCAGAGGGCCTCAGCTCAGCTTAGTTGTTAGCAAGGACATGTGTGTTTGAGTTCCCAGTGCTGCAAGAGCCTTTTTGGAGCATTTCTCCTGGATGAATGAAGTAATTGCTGTTCACACTAAGTTTTGGAAAAGTCACCTTAATAAAATATTAAAATATGGGCTAAGGCAGCTGATCCTTGAAACTTCCTTGCCTATAGTTTGACACAATTTGAGCTTACTCTAGGTCATTGTCCTTCCCGACTTCAATTCTGTTTTGTTTTCTAATGTACTTTTTTGTTGGTTCGTTGGTTGTTTTTTTGGTTTGTTTTGCCTTTTTTTTTTTTTAATGCTGTCATTATTAATGGCAGCTCTTGAAAACTAGGATTCAGAGTTGCAATTCTGGTGGTAGCAGGAGAGCAAAGGCACCTTACAGTCAGTTGGTGAACCCCAGGTAAGTTTTTAGATGTTCTGCTTCCCTTACCAGCAGTCTGTTATCACGGATGGAGTCATGCTCTGGACTCATAAGAGAGAAGCAGCAATTATTGATATAAAACAGTAAGCTAACAAAGTTAAGTGGTAAATGCAACAGTGTTTTAACAAGTTTCAATGTTAAGGTACACTTGATTATTTCTGGCAGAGAGGACAGGGTCAGACAAAATTTCAACAAGGCCCTCTCATTGAGTGATGAGGTTCAAAAAGGATCCCTTTGCTTTCTAAACTCTTTCTCAGAGAGGAGTGTAAATGTGCCTGCATCCCATCCTAGTCCCAGACTTGATCAGTGGTTTGCATCTAAAAGATTATGTATGTGCAATCAATCCTTTATATCACTGAGCTAAAATTTCAAGTCTAGCATGTTATTCATCACTTACTGAGAATCTGCTGGTGCAAGGAATCTCAACCTCAGGGAGTAACCTTGAGGGGCATCCCTACTCAAGGGGAGATCCTGTTGTGCAGTCTGCTGCCATGCAGGAATGCTCAACAGGCTCTGGCCTGTCCCCTATAAAGTAAGAGGATTGACTTATCTTTGCATGCCAGCAAGAGGTCTGGGTGACTGATCCAGAGAGCCCTTGGCTACCATGTTACTATACATCTCCCAATGTCCTGGGTAAGCTGGATGCAGCCATCACACCCCCTACTAATGGTTATGGATTGGTGGGGAGGATACTGCCATACCTGTGCGGTGCTCAACAGCCTTGAGTGTGTGTTTAGGGGCACTCCTGTGATTTGGAGAAGCTTGCAGGAATTGCAGTGTGGAACACATGGCTATAGAGAGCTCTGGGTTTTTTTTTTGGCATGCTATTATAGTTGCCGTAATGCTGCCTTTGTTTCATAGGAAATCTCCACTGTATGACAACTGTTTCCTGCATGCTCCAGATGGACAACCCCTCTGCACTTGTGATCGCAAGAAGGCTCAGTGGTATCTGAACAAGGGGATTGGAGGTGGGCATACCAGTTTTCCTGTTGGTATTTGAAATACAGATGCTTGTTGTTGTTTCTTAGGTAACTGGGCATAATTTTTTTATATCCTTTCTTATTGGAAATACTGTTGGGGATTCACTAGGTTGACTCTTATGTTTTAGCATCTTTATTTTAGCTCTCAAGTATGAATTTGTCTGAATAGTCTATGTTTGCCTTTACCCTTTCAGAGCTAGTTAGCACAGACCCATTTGTTGTGAAGCTGCGGTTTGAGCCTTCGGGGCGTCCTGAGTCTCAAGTTGATTATTATCTAACAGTCAAAGAGAACCTGTGTGTTGTATGTGGCAAGAGAGAATCCTATATCCGGTGAGTTATTTAGTGGGAAAGGAGAAAAATGCATCTTTTAAAGCAGGACTGAGGTCTGCACCTCATTTGTAACCCAGAAGCTTGATTAGCACCTGAAACATCATGCTTGTACACATCCTGGATAGGCTATCACTACTCGAATGCTCTGTAGTTGTATGTGTCTGGGTAAGTTTGATGGTGAACAATCCAACCTTTCCTCCTCTTACAGAGGCAGGAAGTATCAGTCTTTCTCCAGTATCAGGACAGAACAAAGTATATGGAACATGTACATGCTGCAGCCTGAATGACAGGGGCAGCAGTACGCCAACACCCACTGTTGTGATGGCATCCCCTTCTGAAAATAGCTGTAGTATTCCTTCCACTACTTAATCCTTAACTTTTGAAAGGTTCAGGTGAGCCTGAAGCCTATGAGGTCACAACGGGTGACATTTTGTGTTTGCAGCTACTACTGTTTAGGTGGGAGGTATGCTTCTTATAGAGCATTGCTTTATTTTAAATTAACTTTTTTACAGTATGAATCACTTTTTAAAAAAAATGAAAATGGTGAATTTTTGGAGGAAAAAAAAACATGCAGAAAACCTGTAGAGAAAAGTACAGATCAAAAGAAGTTGCATAGCTGCACTGAGGGTCCTGACCCCAATGATCTTAGTTTTCCAGACTTTTAGTATTAGTTGACCCTTTGTGGGCCAGGAGGGGAAGTAACAGGTCCAAGCAAATGTGATGAACTGGCTGGTTTGTTTTCCCTAGGAAAAACATTGTTCCTCACGAATACAGAAGACACTTCCCTATCCAGATGAAGGACCATAACTCCCACGATGTGCTCCTACTCTGCACATCCTGCCATGCCATCTCCAATTACTATGATAACCACCTCAAGCAGCAGCTGGCTGAGGAGTTTGGTGCACCCATTGGCTCTGAGGAAGGTGTACGTCTGATGGAGGACCCTCTGCGCAGGCAAGTGCGCTCCGGGGCCCGAGCCCTGTTGAATGCAGATGGCCTGCCTGACCCCCGAAGGGCCGAACTTTTGCAGAGCATCAAGGACTTTTTTAACACAGAGAGAGTCACCCCAGAGATGCTCCAGGAAGCAGCTGGTCTGGAAACCAGGTACAACAAGCCCATCAGTAGAAGTAACACATTAGTCATTTATGTTGGCATGTAGCTTCAACAAAAAGTTATCTACATACAGAGCCTTGGGTAAATATTACTGTAGCAAAACAAAGAAAATCCAACAGGATGTGCAGAGCTCAGGATCACACATGTTGACTTCCTTCCCCTCCCCCCCAGGCCTTTTAATGAAAATAGGACAAAACCCAGTGCTGGTCTCCTTGGGATATTGGTATTGGGATATCTTCCCTAAAATAATGGTGTCAGGTTAAGGAGTGTCTGAATTTGAGACTAGTAGGAGTTTATCTGAACAGGAAAAATGAACCTTTAAAAGCATAACTTTATTTCTGGATTTATAGTACTTTGATACATTTAACTAGAAAGGAAGGATAAGAAGAAGGTAATTGTGCTGTAGCCTAAGGCTCTAAGCAGACAAGAACATTTTGCATTTCTTACTCTATATTTGTTTTCCTCCCTTCTCAACCCAGCAATGGTCTGTGAACTGCAGCTCTTGTTTCTTCCCGTCTTTCCCTTTCTCTTCCAGCTATCTCCTTCCATTCTTGCTCTCCATCTTTCCTTCCACTGTTTTCTACTTCTTCTGAAGCACAGATATCAGGGAGGGAAACTGAAAGACAGTCATATCAGAAGTCTTCTCTCTTTCTCAAAGCCTCTCCAAATATGTTTTTTTAACTAGTACCTTGTCTCTGCATGAAGTCAGTGTTTTCTCTTTTTTATACTTACTGTTGTTTGTAATGTGCCAATGTTGCAACTCAGAACCTATCCAGGCAGGGAATTCAGAGGCAGAATCAGGGCTCTGTAGTCTCATATGGTTCTTGACTTGAGAAATTTGCAGTCTGTCTCCTGAGGAGCTTGTAATGGAGCTAAAGAGCTTTGTTTAGTTTTGCTATAAAAGAGGAACACTTTCTCAGTTCAAAGAAGCCAGCTTCCCAGTGTAACAGTGTTCCAGAAAGCAGTCTGGCATTGAAGCAAAGCTTGAAACTCTCCCTCTTGGTTTGCTTACCATGTGTCTGTAATTAAGCTCCACAGCTGAAAGTATCTTCAGTGTCTTGCTGTTCACTGGAGACAGGTTTAGAGTCTGACAGTGAGCTTTGTGTGAAAATAAACTCTGCTTGTGTCCTGGCAGGATCTGCAATGAGAGCTACATGCCACATGGACTGAAGGTGGTGCAGTGTTTTGCTAAAGGAGGCCTGCGCTCCCTTATCCAGTTGGAGAGACGCTGGCGGCAGCATTTCTTGGACAACATGCAGCCTAAGCACCTTCCAGAGCAGTGGTCAGTAGACCATAACCACATGAAGCTGATCCGAAAGTATGGGGAGGATCTTCAGATTGAGCTGTCGTGAATCTAACTTCCAAGACTCTAGATAGTGTCTAATGGACATATGTAACTGAAGGTGGAAGAACTGTTTTTACTTCTATGTCTCCGCTAACATCTGGGCCTGGGTTTGCAAACTGGCAGCAGTAGGTCTGCCAGATTTGGCATCTTATAGAGTTAAATCCATTGACTTGAATTTTCAGCTGGCTGAGATTTTTTTTAATCCTGGTCTGTCACTGACTAATTCAGTGCAAGAGTGATATGCTTAAGGGAACTTGTCTTCTCAAAGTTACTATGGAGAGTTATTTTGTAGCCCTCAGGATGTCTGATACCTCCAGACCATTTCTCCTAACACAGAACACAATATATGAACATTTCCCAGGTTTTCTGGCAGGTATATCTGCGCCCTTGAGACCTTGAGAATCTCCTGATTTAAAAGTCTTTCTTTGCTTTCAGTGCAGTTGTACTCATATGAGGAGTTCTTGGAGGAGACTGCCTGCCATAAAGAGGTTCCTGTTTGGAAGTGGCAAAGAAACTTTACCTTTTTTTGCAAATTCTGAGCTGTATCAGAACTGCAGATATAGGCCTCAGTGAGTTTCGTGGTGACAGGTGCCTGATGAGAAGAGACATTCCGACTCTGTCAGTGTGAAACCACCCATGTCAAGTGTTTTCTTAAATAGCTTCCAACAACACACAATGTATAGAAAAAATGTTCTTCCCTAATTCCACTTGTCTGTCACAAATGGGTCTTGCTGGGTACCTTTTCGTATCAGACTGAAGTGAGGTCAGGGGTCTTAAAAGGATGAGAGGAAACAAATTTCATTTAAATACCAGCATCTTTTAAGAGGTCAGACCACGTGTGGCAGAAAACTCAAGAATCTGGTGTTCTGTTCCTGGATTTGATGTGTGTGGTGGTGAGCAAGTCATCTTCTCTCCATGCCTGTTTCCCAGTCTCTAAAATGGGACTAGTAATACTTACCTATCTCACAAGATTGTTGTGGGGCTTAAGGAGTTAATGTTTTTATAAAATGCTTTGAAAATATAAGCTAGTATGTGCTAATTATTACTGTCATTTTTTAAATGTGCTGTTGTCTGACTTTCTTAATTATTAATGTTTTTTAAATGGTACTAGACCTTAATTATATATAACTTTTAAAAAATACATACACTTTTCTGTGAAATCACTTGTGATGATTTTGATTGCATGAGTGTTCTTCCCTGATTGATGAAGCTATGCTCAACTTTTATAGGTCTCTCTAAAGAAGTTTCAGTAAAACCCTTGTCATACTTGACACTACTGCATATAGCACAGTTGATCCATATTTTAGTATAAATTTGGGCAGAATCCTGGACCTGCAGTGATTGTAGCTGAAACTCTCCCGTATCAGATAGTTCAAGAAATTTTACAAGCCAGGGGTGAAAAACCTGTTTGTAAACAGAGACCTTTTGAGATAAGTAGGAGCCGTAAAGAAATGGTACATTAATGCCATCCCAGAGGAGCTGCAGTAGCAGCCTGAGCACAAGGAATCAAAGATTCATGATAAGTACTACTTATCACAGAGCTGCAAATAAGACCATTTTCATTATAAGGGCAATTTTATTCCTTTCCTCTATCACTGGCAGGTCTTAACGAAAGCTTATCTAACCAAATCTGTCTCTGTGCTCATTCACACAGCTGATTATAATCTCAGCAAGAACCTCCTGTCTACAACAGCAGCTTGAATAAAACTATTTCTCTCCAAAGCAATTTGAGAAGTGTTCAGATAGTGCTATCTCCTGTCTTCAGTGCCATTTCAGTGGTAGGAGCTTGTTGCATGGCTCAGAAGAACTCCTTTTCAACAATCAAGAGTACAAGGTGTCCATCTCACTTCTTCATTCTGCTTGTTTTTTCTCTCTTTATTCCGATGCTGAAACTTCTGATAAAGCTGTCCTTGTTTAATGGAACTGATGGGCTGACCACAGGGCTGCTGTTTTTTCTGTTTGTTGAGACAAGTATTGGACTAGAGGTTCTCTAAATTTAAAGGAGTCAGTGGTATCATTCTAGAGTTTTGTGGTTTATTTTTTTCCAAATAACTTGCTCAGAAATTTGCAAGGGAAACTTCCTTTATAAATATTTTATTAACTAAAGTTCTTTGTTTTTTGTAAGGTATCCTTCAACTTGCATCATTTTAAGTCAACCTGGAAGAGGAGGCGAAGTGATACATTTCTTGCGCAGGAAAAGATTATTTTTATATGATTGTGATTTAAAATTTTCTGCTGATATATAGGTAAAACTTTCTTGTATGTCTTCATCACTAATTATTGCATTCAGTAAAAATTTGCTCTTTTAACCAGACTTACCACTGTTGAAGCTCTTTTTTTCTTCTTCACATACCTATCTTTTCCTGTATCTTACCCTGTCTTTATGAGTCCATTGTTTCTTACAGTAACACCTGGATTTCACCCTTTGGGTTTCTCTTTCCAGTGCCTTCCCTGATCTGTCTGTCAGAGGTCAGCTGTGGAAGAGCCCGTGCTGGCAGCAGTACTGTACTTCTAAGCAATGTGATAACAAGTTTGCTCAGATACATTTCAATTGTTTTTCTGAGGCTTTCAGTGGATTCAGGTGCTGTCCTGGCCTGGTCGTGCTGGTCAGTCATGATGGCTACAGATCTACATTTTTGAAATAAAAAAACTTCGATTTTGCTCAACCTGAGCATTCATCTAGGTTGCCCCAACTATCTTACCTCCTGCACTAAACCATGCACATCTGTCTGCAAAGGGAGAGAAGTGCCATGGCTCTTTGTGTGGACTGGCTTTCACAACATGGAGTTTTTCTTTCTGTTACTTATCTATATTTCTAAGTTTGCCCAAAGTAGGAATTCCCTGCAGCACTTGCCTCCATCCTTTTTATTTTTCCAGTATTTTGCCCATGTGAAACATATGTGCTTTTCTAAGAATATGGCTGGGTATGTATTTCCAGAGGCACTCCTTTGTAGTGGGACTACCAAGATAAACTGTGGCAGGTTAGCTTGCCTTCCCCCATGGGCTACAGACTGATTTCTGGCTTCCCAACACTGTGGTTTGCCTTTTTTTTTTTGGCTTTGTGGTAACTTCGACATTATTGGATGGTGAAGGAATTACCAGCTGAGCAGCATTTTTGATTGGCAGTTGGAGGTGCAGTAAGCTGGTGCTGCATTTCTGAGCAGACCGTCTATGACATGTTAATTATGCTGCTGACAGACTTGGCATTTGGAGTGCCTTGGTTTCCTCCTTTGACAGTCTTTAAAGGTCCCAGCTGTCACATCCATAACTGCTGTGACTGAAGACAACGTACCCCTGTGGGCTTCTTGCATTTTTCACTGTTTGGTATGCACTAATGGCAGCTATCTTCCTGTTGCATTTCAATTGCTCTGGCTTCCTAGGGAATACCTGAACTACACACTACCTGTAACATGTTTTTGGTGTCATTTTTCAGTGAAGACAATGTGGTTAGCCTTGAGGAGTACCTCATCGCCTCAGCCCTGTGCCTAGATGCCTTTGAGGAACTGGGCCTTTTGCATGTGCAGAGGGAGCCTCTGAAATAAGGAATCAGCAGGAGCCATTGCCAGTGTCCAGTGTTTTGTACTGATTTAGAGGCACCTCCAGTCTGAACCAGTAGGTCAGTTCCCATATCTGCTTCTTGATCTCCTTCTTTCCGGACTCCACAGTATATACGCTTCATTCCCACAGTTTTGACACAAACTGTCAACCCCTTGATGTTCTCTGAGAATAAGGGCCATTTTCAAGGCCTTTCTCTCATTTCTACATAGTGCTATGTTATTGACATAAGGGCTTTCCCTACCCTCTGGGTTATGTTTTTCTATAGAAAGGGAGAGGCAGTTTGAGTTAAGTGCAAGCAAGATGTATCCAACTTTCTCTGTGAGCTTTCAAGGGATCCACAGTGTGCCCTCTTGTATTAGTCCAGCATCAAGGGAGTTTTGTTGAATGCTTTTACAGATAGACAGGGTAATGCAAGAGAACCACCATGGTTAAGCTTAATAAGGGGAAAATACCCCAAACCAAACCAAGAGAAAGCCAAACAAATGTGCAGGAACATAATTTCCCATATTCAAACCAGATTTCTCTATCACTGTGAATTCCACCATGAAGAGCAGGCACCTGTGGCAGGGATTTTCTGATCCAAGATTAATGTTGCATCTTCCCACTGAACTATCACGATGCTTGTTTCTGTCTTGAATTAGCCAGCGTGATACTAGCTGGAGTCTCAGTGATGTTAGTCACCAGGAAACAGAGCAAAACGACATTTCCCTTATTTTCCTTTGCAAGCTATTGGATAAGTTCAATTTCTGAGATGGAGGTAGTAAAGAGAACTGGGGGAAAAAAAAAAAAGAATGGATGGAAACTTTTACACTTTTACTGTAAAATAGAGGTGTTGTCTTCAGATAACAAGAAACCATTTCCTTGTGCAGGGAAAAACTCCAGCTTCAGCTATAGATGATATAAAATATGTCTTCTATCTTTCTTTGCTTAAAAAAAGGAAAGATTGTGCGGTGGCTAAGGAGCAAAAAAGAGAAAACATTTATATATTTCAGCACAAATTTGACAAGTCTGGGAAAAAGATACTAGGCAGCTGTCAGAAATGCAGTCTTAAGAGAAAAACTGCCTGTCCAAACTCCCTCCACAGAAACCTGCTGCTCTAAGGAGCTGTTTCACACTGTAGTGTGCTCTGTGGCTATCTGGCATATATCTCTTTCACACTGATTAACAGCAAGTCTTTTCCAATTGATCGTCCTTTGAAAAATGCCAAATAGTACTTTGAATCAGCTGAGATCTGCCAGTTGCTCTTCCCTTTTTCCTCTGTGTCCTGTCCAGGACTTTTAGCCATAGGTGAAAGCAGAGAGACTGATTGCTGGTGGCGTGTGAAAGAGAGTGGAACCCCTGTCAATGCACTATGAATAAAGAAATAATTATCCATACTTCGCTATCAAAGGCTACAGAGTCCAAATCTGAGCTGTAAGTATGGTGTGTATAATTTTATGTAACGCTTTTTGCTATTTGGATAATGTTTTCCATATGTTTTAAAAGCATTACACAATCTTCTGTCCCTCTGTTTCTCCAGTAAAATACGGGTAGCAATGCTAGATGTTGTTAAGCTGCACATCTCAAAGCACTGTGCTGATGTCTTCTTAAAGACCAGCTCTATTTTACGGATATTTACCCCATGTTAGAAGAACAGTCGGTCCAAGCAGTAAAACTGGAACAGAAGAAATACTTAACAGAGCCCTGGAAAAAGTCAGACCAGACCACCTGTCTCTTGACAAATTGGTTACAGGAGAGAAAACTGCCTTCAAGTACATGTTCCATGCATGACAGCCAGAGGTGGTGCTGAGTATTAGACCCTCAAGACTATGCAAGTATTTTTTTTTTCCCTTTGCCTTATAAATGGGCTTTAAGACTCTTAATGCCACTCCCCACTAGCTCTATGCCTTCAGTTCTGCTCTGAATATTACCAGTGTACAGTGAAATATTAGAGGGTGCTCTTGCTACCAGCAGTGTGGAAGCCCTCCTGCTCCAACTTTGCACGAAAAAGCCAAGAGGTGGGGTAAATACAGGTAGATAGATATAAGGGCTAAAAAAGGTGGGTTATCTTTATTTCACTTACTTAGCATAATCACCAGTTAAATCCAGAAGAACTTCCTGCTAGCCATCACCTTTTAGTTGGATGTGTTTCACTGCCAGCTGAAGCTAGTCAGTGGGTTCATAGCAAAAGCTGTTCACTTATAACAGGCTGCAGTAGGGGACAAAGAAAAGTAATTGCCATAGCTACAGGTTTGCACTTGGGTAATAACCTCAACCATCTGTCAGCCTGCCCTACCATAACCCTTGAGGGAAAGGACCTGAGGGAAGCATAGGTAGGTCCTTGTCCTCCTTGCTGCCTCTTTTGCTCAGGACCTGCCACTCTGGAAGCTGAGTCTTGTGCGCTGCTGAAGACACCAGCATGGGAATATGGCTCATGAGTAAAGGCCAGAAGAACTGAGTTTCTCTAGATCAGGGGGAAAAAAAAAAAAAAAAGAGGGACAAGGAGATAAATAAGAAAAATATTGTGATGAAGAGGGGAAGATTTTTGTGGGCTGTTTTCTAATCTAGCTATGACAGGAGGTTATGGGCTTAAAAGTTCAACAAAGGAGATTTGGGCTAGTCA